TGGGTCTTCTTCAATAACAACCAGTGTTCTTAACTGCTGAAGCATCTCGCCAGCCCCGAGTCAGGTTTTTTAAGGAAAAAAAAAAATAGCTGAGGCAGGAGGATTTCAAGTCTGAAGTCGGCCTGAATAACAACTTCCTTAATTTTTCATGTTAAAAAATGACTTTCAGCCAGGTGTGGTGGTGCACGCCTTTAATCCCAGCACTCAGGAGGCAGAGGCAGGCGGATCTCTGTGAGTTCGAGGTCAGCCTGGTCTACATAGTGAGTTCCAGGCCAGCTGTGGCTACAGGGAGACCCTGTCTCAAAAAGACAGAGAGAGAGAGAGAGAGAGAGAGAGAGAGAGGACTTCTGACACGGAATCATGCACTACATTGGAAACTGTGAATGAGGTGCCAAAACAAAGTAGACCCAATCCTCCGAAACAGGGAATCTTCAAAGAAATCAGAAAGTCGAAAACAACAACAAAAACTCCCTCTCCCCCAAAAAGGTAATTTCACAAATTGGAACCTGTTCAAACCCATAAAGCAGCAACTGGAGAAGTAGCCTGGGAGAGGCAAGTCCTGCCAGGCCACCCAAGGGCCAGGCCCCACTAGAGTGCAGAGCAACCTTCACCTATGCCCCCACCCTGCACATTCATGGAGCACCTACAGACACCACAGGATCACAACGATTGAGGACCTCTGCTGGCTCAAGAGAGCCACCCCCTGCAGTCTGTGTCCAAGACCCCATGTGGCGATTGAGACTGCAGCGGCTGTTACAGCGAAATGCCCAGAAGACGCTACAGCAGGTCACGCATGACTAGAGCTTCTGCCTCCCACCTGGACGTATCAAAACTAATGGGGCATAGAGTCCACCGCAGAGCAGCTGCCCTCACACTACTGGGCTATGGGTGAGGAAGGAGTCGCAACAGTCCGCACAAGACAGCACTAGGCTTTGGAAGAAGGCGTAATGAGATAGTGCTTTTGGAAGTGGACTGGAAGAAAGACGTGGGCGGGAAGAAGGCACTCAGGGTACAGCCAAGGGAGCCACAGAGGCAGGACCTCACCCTAGAGGTCATAGGACAGCAACACTGGGCATAAGAAAGCTTCCCACCCTTACTGGATTCAACCCTGGAGGTTGACAGGGCACTCAGCAGTTTGGGTCAGCAGGTCAAGAGTCTGGAGACTGTTTCCACCCACAGAAGCAAGGGAGGAGAAGACAAAGGCCCTCCCAGGGCCATAATAACCACAAGGAACCAAGGACTCCAGGTCAGGAGAAACTGAGGCGTCCTACATTGACCACACAGTCTCGGTAGCCTAAGAGTGAACACCAGAGGTCTTCACAGGTCTAAGCACCCTGCACTGGAAACAGGAAAGGCAGGCTGCACTGTGACTGAACAACAGGGTGCTGGTCATGCTACCATAGAACTCACCTGTGACATTGAGCTGGAAGGAGACCCTCTGTCCCCCGGCCTCACAGCTGTACTCCCCGGCATCAGCCTTGCCCGCCTGCTGCACCACCAGCCTCCTCGTGCAGCCCGAGGCCTCCACTCGCACCTTCGAGCTCGAGCTCAGCTTCTTCCCGTCCTTGACCCACGTCCCCTCTGTCTGGGCCTGGCCCCCCTGGCAGCTCAGGGTGGCGCTGTCCCCCGCCTCTGCCTTCACCTCGCTGCGTGCCTGCTGCTCCTTGGCAAACACCACCTTGGGCTCTGGGGACAGGTGGAGACACGCAGGATGAGAAACTCCAAACCAGACCTGGTCCCTCCTCAAAACCTAGGGCTCATTAGAGCCCAGTGATGGCCAAGGCAGCAGTGCCTGTGATTGACAGATGATTGCATGTTGATAAACAATATTCTGTACTGCATGTGACCCAAGCTCCACGCTCTAAAGTGGCATATGTGAAAGGTTGGGATGCAGTCAGGCCTTGTCACTGCCCTAAGCCCTTCCTGGCACACTCTGATGTTTTCTGAGAAATGAGCAGCTTCAGCCCTTGAGGCCGCCACAGCCAGGCTTGCCTCCTGATACCACCACTAACCTGACCTTCGGAGATGGGACCCTGACCTTCCCCTCTGCAGCTCCCCCAGGAACTCCAGGTCATGCATTGCTTCCCAGCTCTCTCTTCCACATGCAGGGGCCACAAACAGCAGGAGGAGGCATGACTGGGAAGAACGACCACCCCAAGCCCCAAGGCAGCAGCCCACATCTTTCTGGACCACAGTTGAAGAGGGAGTACAAGAGAGCAGAGTGTGGGACAGCCAAGTAGGAGCGACTGGAGGCATTGTATGTGGTCTTTTCCTGGACTCGGGGACATAGAGGAGAGAGGAGATACATACTATGATTGCACGGGGGTTACCAAGGGCCAAAGTGAGGGCTCACAAAGCTTTGAGGTCCAGCAAGTAGGAATGGGCAGAGGGAGCCCCTGCCACCAACAGGACTTCTATCCAGTAACTGGACACCCCCCACACACACAAGACTCTCAACTGCAAACAGTCTGTGTTCACCACACAATCCCATCACCCCTAGGTCAGTGTCACCAAGGAGGCACTCAAGGTTGGCACAGCCATCACTCTGCTCTGATCTCATGATGATGAGAGACCACAGAGCTACCAGGCAGAGCTGAGGACACAGATGCTGAGATCCAAGGGAGGGTACCATAGGCTCAAGGTGGCCCAAGCCACCTAGACATATCCTGAAGTATCACACCAAACACTCAGGGCCTCTCCCCATTCAGCCCAACCCTGGCATTTACCTGTGACGTCCAGGCGGAAGGAGACCCTCTGTCCCCCGGCCTCACAGCTGTACTCCCCAGCATCAGCCTTGCCCGCCTGCTGCACCACCAGCCTCCTTGTGCAGTCCGAGGCCTCCACTCGCACCTTCGAGCTCGAGCTCAGCTTCTTCCCATCCTTGAGCCACGTCACCTCTGTCTGGGCCTGGGCCACCTCGCAGCTCAGGGTGGCGCTGGTCCCCGCCTCTGCCTTCACCTCGCTGCGTGCCTGCTGCTCCTTGGCAAACACCACCTTGGGCTCTGGGAAGAAAGATGGCGACACATGTTCCAAGGATCCAGCCAAGTTCCTAAGTCTTGGATTCTGTTTAATAAGCTTTGGATCCCAGGAAACCCTGGGTCCTGCCACAAAGATCTTTCATGATCTGCCTTCTTAGTTATGGCTTTTCCTATGACTGGGTGTGTGATACCCAATCCCTCACTGGTCAGGACCATGGTATGACCAGGAGAGCAGCAGGGCAGGCCATCATGAAGTCACCAAGCCATTCCCTTCAGGTCAAGGCAGTGTTCTCTCAGCCTCTAAACTGCCCATCTTCAGATACCATTTCTACAGAGCAGAGGAAATCTAGCTTATGAACACGGCCCTAATTTGCTCTACCAACTGGAAACTGACTAAATTGTGATTTTTTTTTTTTTTTGCTTTTTGATATGGCCAGACTTTCAACTAAGAACATTACTAAAAAGCAGGATTTTATGCCTTTCTGTGTATAGGTCTTTAGACGTCTGTGTAAGGAATGGCCACACATTTGCCTCTAGAAGGCAGAAGCAGGGGTTTTCTGCTGTGCGTCCAGCCTCAGAGCTGAAAGTGGACCTGGTCCAATGGTCTAGCATGGGAGACCCCAAGCCTCTCAAGGTCAAGATGGAAGTCTACAGCATCTTCATGCATGCTACAGGAGTTACCCTTTGTCCTGCCTGGTATCTGAAGATACACTCAGCCAATGCCATATCTCCATGTCCTCCTGCAAGTAGTGGGCAGAAGAACCCAGCACCTTGCTACCTTTGTACATTCAAACTGAGTTGGGCCCTGGTCCGCAGCATCCACACAGCCACCTGCCGTTTCTGTGAAGAAAGGCTCTGAGGCCTGCAGGATATAGCACTGCCATGCTCTTGACAACAGCAACCAGCAGGCTGAAAGTGCCCAGATTTAGACCATGTGGGACTACAATCCTCACCCAGACCAGAGAGGTCCCAACCACAGTTAGGAAGTCCTTCCTGAGAGCTGAGCCTGCTCCCCCACCATCACACACACACAGGGTCAGAAAACAGCGACCCCACTGCCCAGAGTTTGCCTGGAACTAAAGGGCAGGATATGTATTTCCAGGACCACAGTGGGGTCCAGGAGGACGTGGATGCCAGCCCCACCACCCACTGACCCTCACCTTGCACTAACAACTGGTAGGCAATGCGGTTTTCACGACTGACACACTCGTACAGGCCGGCATCATCCTGTGCCACATCCCGCACCAGCAGTGCTCGCCTGCCAGCTGATGCCTGCACTTCGTACTTGGGGCCCACAGGCAGCTCTCGACCATCCTTCAGCCATGTCACAGCTGCGGCCTGGTCTGACAACTCAGCCAGCAGCTGTGCCTCCTCGTGCAGTCCGGCCAGCACCTCCCGGGCGGCCATAGCTGGAAGCTTGCTGCTGGTCAGCCCTGGAGCTTCTGCAGGTCAGAGATAGTTAAACAGAAGCAATTAGGGACAGAAACACCAGAACATGGTGGACAGAAGGGGTCACATGCTGTAAAGGAGAATTGACAGAGATGCAGAGGAGAGAGAGACAAAAGAAAAAAGAGAGAGGCCACACATGGTGGTGCACGCCTTTAATCCCAGTACTCTAGAGGCAGAAGCAGGCAGATCTCTGTGAATTCAAGGCCAGCCTGGTCTACATAGTGAGTTCCAGGACAGCTGGAGCTACAGGGAGACCCTGTGTCAAAAAGACAAAAAAAAAAAAAAGAAAGAAAGAAAGAAAAAAGAGAGACCCAAGAGAAAAGGGCAGATTGAAAAGACACAGAGAAAGGTCAGTGAGAGACAAAAGGGCAGAGGGGGAAAAAGAGGAGTGAGGACGAGCAGGAACAGGGAACACGGTGTGTCAAGGAAGGGAGGGGACAGTGGGGAAAGCCAAGTTGGAGGAGGGGGGTGAGACAGAGTTAAGAAAGAAGCAGGTAGGCAAAAGAAGACATAGGGGCAGATGGGTAGAAGGGAAAGCAGGCAGATGAGATGAGGTCCAGCCACTGGGCATCACATACATACACACACTGCCCAGTCTCACCAGCCAGCTTGGGATGAGCCACCTCAAGCACCCAGCTGCCCTGCCCCCACCTCACCACTGCCATCAGACAGACCCTCTCCCGAGACTACCCTCCTGCCCACCACCCCACCACAGAGAAAACGGGGCTCAGGGCCTCAGGCTTACCCCGGACCTCCATTCGGATGCTGGTTTCAATGCCATCAGCCACGAACTTCAGCTGCACCCCATGCAAGCTTGCAGGTACCTCTCGGATGGTGAGTGTGTGCCGGGTACAATCACAGCGGATCACATACACACTGCTGGGCTTCAGGGCCTCCCCATCTAGGAACCACTTGCCCTCAGAGGCCACAGTGAGGTCCACAGAGAAGGTGACCTCGCCACCCTCCACTGCCTCAACTGCCTTCAGAGGCGTCTTCACGGCCAGCTTGGGGGCTGCAAGGTGAATAGCATCAAGAGAGAAGTTGGGGCCAGTTGAGGGCACAGCCTCTGCCTTCCCTTCCTCCTCCTACAGAGATGGGCTCAAATGTTCATCTCCCTGACTCGGGTAGCTAAAGCCTGTTTCTCTGGGCTGCTGAAGAGAGGTGAGTTCATTGGAACCTTAGTCCTGTCTTGGGGTCTCCTCTCCTGCATGAGGAGGCTCCAACACCCTCCCCCTGCATAGATAGTCTCCCAAAGGTCACTCTGGCCCCGCTGGAGGCTGAGCTATGTTTCTGGGTCAGATGAGCCAAGGGCAGGTGGCAGCCATCTGTGCAGCTACCAAGTGGTCCCACTCACCCAAGTGTATGGTCCCTGGGAACTCAAGGTAGGGGCTCTGGCCAAAGTGGTTGATGGCTGACACTCGGAACTGGAAGTCCCCTTCCTCAGCCACACCAGTGACAGTAAACTCCAGCATGGCCACCCATTCAGCCTCGTGGCACCGGCTCCAGGCATAAGCACCAAGTCGCCTTTTCTCCACTACATAACCATCGATGGCAACGGGTCGGTCCCCATGGGGTGGTGGAGACCAGCTGAGGGTCACGGAATTCTCCATTCTGGCCTTTATCACAGGGTCAGCAGGAGGGTACAGAGGTGGCCTCCTGGGGGCTGAATGAAAAATGAATTGAGCTCACAACTCGAAGCTACATCCCTAATCTCGGATCATCCAGAAAGAGAAAAGCAGAACCCAAGGCCCTCCCTCGGTACTGCTCTGGTGGACAAGATGGTAGGGGTGGATGGTGGGCAGGGACCTTCCTTAATAGGTGACGCTCACAGCACTGAGGGAATGCAGGAGTGGAGCTGGTTGTGCCCAGTGGGCTGCTGCAGGGAGAGCCACCCAAAGACACTCCTTAGACCCTTACCTGACACACAGAACCGGGTGGTTGTCCGGCAGCCACCAGCTACAAAGGCCACCTCACCCATGTCCGCCAAGGTGCACTGGAAAATGGTTAGTGTGTGGCACGTGCCTTCTGCAGTGATGGCTACCCGGCCCCCTGCCACCATCTCCTCCTGGTTCCGTAGCCATCGGACAGGGCCCTCTGGGGCAGCCAGCTCCACCCAAAAGATGGCCGTGTCCCCAGCACGCACAGCTGTCTTCCGAGGCAGCTTTCTGGTCAAGTTCCCTGGAGTGGGAAGACTGCATTGATGATGAGACAGATGAGACGCCCCCGTGCGTACCCCCTACTTGTCCTGTGGCCCCAGTCCTAGCCGTCTGTCCATCCAGCTCCATCCTCTCACCTGCCTCACTGTTACACATACACACACCTCTGCCCATCCCCTTCCTGCTGGCCCCTTGCCTCTCCAGACCCAGGCTTGATCTAACCCTAGCTTCTCAGCTTCCCTCAACCCCTGCAGTCCCAACCCTCCTTTGCCCCAGGTCCCTACATCCATCCCCTACTACCGGCCCCCCCTACTGACTCTCACCTCATATGCACCCTGCCAGGTCCTGTACCTTGGTTTATCCTTCCTCCTACCAATTCCAGGAGGATCACCCTCTTGCCATCCTGCCCCACTCCGTCCCACTCCACCAGGCCATCCTCACCTGCCCCAAACCCCAGACCCACTCTGCCCTGGTCCCCTGACGGGCCCCCACCCCGCATTCTGAACCCTCTGCCTGGGTCCTCCTCACCCCAGCTCCACCCCATACCACTTTCTTGTCCCACCCCCTGCTGACCCCCACCCTTTCCCAATCCTCGAGAGGTCTGCCTCCTTGGCGCCCAGGCTCACTTGCCCGTCTGACCCGGCCCCACTCGGCCCCGCCCCTCCCTGTCCCGCCTGCCTTGGACAGAGAGCTCTGCCACAGTGCGGCTGCCCTCCATGGTCTCGCAGATGTACACCGCGTCGTCGTCGGCAGAGACGTTGTGCACGGTCAGTCGGCGCTCGGTACCCTCCTCCTCGATGTCATATTTGGCGCTCGCCCACAACCTCGTCTCCTCCTTGAACCACACAGCCTCGGTGGCGGGCTGGGCCACCTCGCACTGGAACGTGGCTGACTCCTTCTCTCGCACCTCCAGGTCCTGCAGCCGCTTCTTGAAGGGCAGGGCGGGCTCTACGGGGACAGGCGGGTGAGAGGGGCTGGTGATGGGGCTCCCGGAGTGGTGGAGCCAGGTACGAGGCAGGGGGTGCGGCGGATGCCAAGGCCTGAGGACAGGGCACCAGATGTAACAGGTGGAAGGAGGCAAAGGAAAGGTCCAGGGGGCGCAGCTGTGGACCGTGGGAATTCGCCGCTGGGGAGAAGGGAAGAGGGTGGGAAGGGGGCAGGGGACCGGAAATGGAGAGGGAGCAGGCTCAGATAGGGATAGGTGAGATGGAGGGATGTGGGGGGCGTAGGGGTGCAGGGAGAAGGGTCCAGTAGAAGTGGAGCTCGGAGGAGACAGAGTAGGGGGTCAGTGGAGCACGGGAGGAGCGGGAGCTGGAGGGCAGGGATGGTGGCGGGGTCGAGTTCCTACGATAGACACAGGCCAGGGTCCATCGCCCGTGCACAGCCATGAAGGCGAGAGCCGCCCAGACCTCCACTGTGTGTTCCGCGACCCGCCTTTAGCAGATATTTGGACCAGAGGGTCTTTGAACCAAGCAGGTCATCACCTGGGACCACGCGCCCTTGGGCTCACCTCGCACGACCACCAGCACCGAGCTGTAGGTCTGGCCCACGAGGTTGGAGGCTGTGCAGGTGTAGAGGCCGCGGTCTGACTGCTTGCAGAACAGGATCTTCAGGACGAAGTTCTCCAGTTCGTCCTCATACACCAGGTGTCGCCGGCCCTCGGTCACCAGCTGCCCGTCCTTCTTCCATACAGTCTCGGGCTTGGGCTCACCAGTCACGTAGCAGCTGAGACGCGCGTGCTTGCCCTCGGTCACCGTGCAGGTGCGCGTACCCGCTCCGGGTGGCGAGGGGGGAACCCCTTCTGCGCGCATGGCCTCGCGCCGCTGCTGCAGGTGCGCCAGGAGCGACGCGGTGGAGGCCCCGGGTGGGCCGGCTACCTCGGTGTCCGAGTCCACCACGAGCGCGGCGGCGGCGGTGGCCGAGCCCAGCGGGTTCTCGGCGCGCACCTCGTAGGTGCCACCGTCGCGCTGTCGCGCGGAGCGGATGCGAAGAGCGCTCGCCTCGCCGTGGTCCTCCACGCGCACACGAGGGCCGTCGGGCGCGCCCAGACGCCTCCCGTCTTTGGACCAGCTCACTGCCGGGGGCGGCGAGCCACGCACCTGACAGCGGAACGTAGCTTCGGAGCCCTCGCGCACCCGGATGGAGGTGGGGCGCAGCAGAAAGTGGGGCGCCTGCTCGGCGTATGCGGCCTCCGCGTCCACTCGCAGGCCCACGGCCGCGAAGGCCTCGCCAATGGCGTTGCGCGCGCGACACACGTACTGCCCGCTGTCACCTAGCGCTAGGTCCAGTATGGTGAGGCGGTACACATCTCCGTCCTGGGCCAAGCGGAAGCGCGCTCCTGCCTCCACTGGCTGCCTGTCCTTCTCCCAGCTGACATGTGGCGTGGGGTTGCCTACGATCTGGCAGCTCAAGGTGGCGTCCTTGCCCACAGACACCACAAAAGCCTTGGGCCGCGTCAGGAAGCGGGGCGCGCCGCTGAAGGAGTGGTCCATGGTGGCCGCCTGGATGGGGATCTTGCCAGGGGGAGAGGCAAATGTCATGGTGGTGCTGGGATGAGTCCATGTCCTGTGCCCCACCTGACCTGACCCGCTGGCTTATCCTACCGCTGCCAGAGGAACCCAGTTTAATAGGATGTGCACCTCCACACAGGCTGCCTTCCCAATAGGGCTCACTTTTACCCCATTCCCAAGGGCACTGTAGTACCTAGCCCCCAAGGCCCAGCAGAGCAAATGAATGCCTTTCACTGCCTTCCCAATAGGGCTCACTTTACCATTCCCAAGGCACTGTAGTACCTAGCCCCCAAGGCCCAGCAGAGCAAATGAATGCCTTTCTGTTACTTTGGTATGTAACATCTTAAATATAACATAATTGGTGGGAACATTTATGCCCCCACCACCCCCATTGTCCCACCCAGCTCCAGGAGGCCCTCTGGGCTGCAGATAACTTCACATTCTCATTCAGCACTTGCCTGCCTTCATACTGCTTGGCCTCACTGCCGGCCTAGCCTAGGTAAGAGCAGGGTGTGGGGGCAGTGCAGTCAGTGACTGGGAAGAACAGTAGAATAATGCCATAGTTTGGGCTACTACAGTCAGTGTCCCTTCCCAGAGCTGAGAACCAGCTGGGCCTAGCTAGCCTGGGACCCAGTGACCTGCTCACTACACGGTCCTCAGTCTTGGACTCACCAACGGGGGCCCCTGCAGGGATGAGGTTCCATGCCTCAGTCCTCCTGGGTACCTCAGCACCCAGGTGACACTGGCCTCTGCCGACCCAACACTGAGCCCTAGGCAGCCAGCCCCTGATCCAGTGGAGTAGAGTGAGACTGACTGACTGCCTGCATCAGGCCTTATGTAAGTCCAGTGGTGGCCATGGCTGGCCAAGAGAGCAAGCTCCACCCTGGGCAGCCACAGTGCCCCAGTAAAGAAAGACCTCTACCACACCCCCTGCATCTAGTCTACTTTGGCCAGAGCCTCCAGTCTCTCAGCTGGGGCTGCTTACTATGGGACCAGTTAGTTGATAGGTTGATATTCCCTGACCCTCCAGCACCTAGTCCTATGATTCAGGTAACTAATCCCCCTAATCCTCTTCCAAGAGGCCGGGCCTGGACCAGGGCTGGGCTGTAGTGGCTGGCTTGCTGACTCACTGTCCAGTCAGCATCTCTGTCCCCTACCCCACTCCACCGCTCAGGCAGGCCCCATATGTCAGAATGGGGTACCAGGAAGTGCCAACCCAGGCTCCCTTTCATCTGTTCTTTAGGCCTGCCTTCATGAGCTATCAGGGACCCTGAGTCAGAGGTTTTTCCATCACCCCCAAGAGCAAGGCAGGGCATCCTTCTGCTATGCCCTCATCCTGTGCATGGCCTGAGGTAGCCCAGCCAGTGTCACATGAACGAGTGTGTGCAGGCAGCCTGACACCCACATGCGAAAGGGAGCTACATCTAGCCTCAGGAGATCCATAGGCCCTAGAGTAGCAAGAGCAAGCAGAGGACTCCTCCTAGGCCTCCAGGGATGGTGGCCTGGGCCCCACTGTCTGCTCAAAGCCTGCATTCCCTCCACCAACGCTACCAATCAGTGGCACACCAAGGCACTGCCCACTGTCATAGGGTCAGAATGACTTTGTCACAGCTCCTCAGCCACCCTGCCAAGCAGATCTGAAGCCAGAGAGGGACTTCCAGAGCTCACATACTCCAGGACTAGGGAGCTGTTCCAGCTGAGGAAACTGAGGCTACAGCAGAGGCTTCCAGGAAATCCCCCCCCCAAAAGGAAATCCATCCCCAGAATGGAACATCCTCAGAAAAGACTCTCCCTTGCCTGGCTTGGGCTGGAGGCTGCTCAACAAAGGGCACCCAGGTGGCTATCCACAGCCTTTCAGGGAAGCCCCTTCCTCCCTCAGCTGTCTGCCTGGGAACTCAACTCCTCCTCAGCCCTCGTAGGCCTTCTCCAGTCCAACAGGCATCTTGGATCCCTCCCTTACCAAGGTGGTCCTTGGAAGCCCCTGCAGCTGGTCACATAACTAGCCCATGCCTCCCTCCACACACACACATACAGTCCCTCCACATTTTTAGCAGAATTTGGCCACCTTGCAGGGTAGACTGATTTTCTGAATGAGCCAAGTAGGAAGTGACACACAGACACTGGCTAGCAACAGATCCCCTCTCCCTCCCTGGAACTCTACCTTGCCGGACCTCCTTCTCCTCCCCAACACCCCAAGAGAGCAGAACCAGCAGGTGTGTGGCCCTGGTGCCCTTCCAGAATGGATTTCCAAGGGCAGCCCCTAAGCCCAACCTCACCTTAGACCCCAAGCCTGTGGCTTCCCCCACTCCCTGGGAAATTCTTTCCTGGAGTCAAGTGTCGGTGCCCCTCTGGCTGTCCCCTCCACTGAGCCAACAGGCTCAAAATAGCCCCAGCTGTCAGCGGGCATCCATCTCAACAGAGCTGGGGGCAGGGCCACCAGACCCCCAGGCAGCCAACAGACTGGGGGGCAACCCAGCCAGGCAGTGGGTTCACGATACCAGCACCAGTCCTCCCAGACCCCTCAGAAAAGACTGCCTCTGATCAGCCTGAGGGCTCAACTCAGAGTCACCAGAGGGGCCCAGGTCTGGCATCCAGCCCACTCCCTTCCCATGGAGAGATCCAGTCTGGCTGGACCCCCAAGGTTCCCTAGTTCCATAGAACACCATGACCTTCAGCCCAGCTGCCCTCCAGAAGTGAAGGACAACCCTCATAGCAGCTCTGCCTCCTCACCTGTCTCTACCGGGGGCTGGGGCAATGCCCAGGCTGGGGGTATAGGTGGTGAGTTAGGGGCTGCTGGGTCTTGCCTCCTTCCTGGGGCCCAGGACGATGTGGTTCCCACCCAGCAGCCCACACTCCAGCTGGTCCTCAGACTGGACAGGGACGGACGAAAGGACAGGCAAACACTGTCAGCTGAAGAAGTCTAGGTCCGCCCCCGCCCCACCCCCATCTCTGGCCAGCCCAGCCCAGCCCAGCTCCAAAATAGCCCCGGTGTCACTGTCCGGGATTCAGTTTCACCCTCAGCCCCAGGGAGGCAAAGGGCAGGTGTCCTTCCACAATGATGTGGGCAGCAGCAAGAGGGGCAGATGGTCCAGTCTTCCTTAGACCAGCATCCTGGATTAATGGGGGATGGAGCCTGAGGTCTCAGGATGATACCAAAATAGGGTCAAGTGAGCAGCCCTGAGGGAGAAACCTTAGCACTGATCATGAAGGGGACTCCATAGTAGCATGAGAAGGGATCCAGGACCACCACTGGGAACCAAGGCCACCCAAAGGAACCAGGGCCATCCCTCAGGGATCACAGGACCACACTTACAGGATCTAAGATCAGCCCAGGGAAACACAAACCAACCCAAAGACCCAGGACCACTTTAGGGGAACCCATGAGTACCCAAGAAAGCCAGAATCAGGTCTAGAGACCAGAACTAACCCAAGGAGCTGGTCCAGCTCAAGAGGGATCAAGGACCACCCAGTTTACTCCAAGAAGACCAGGACCACCTGTTCTCTTCTCCACCTGACCCTCCTAGGACCCAGCAAAGCAAAGGGACAGCCTGGAGCCATGCACTGTTCCCTGGGTCATCTACAGAATGCTAAGACATGCACCCTGATCACACCCAGGACCCAGGCCACCTTGGTCCCTCCCACTGTGCTCAGCCTGGCTGGGTCTGTGATGTCTTTAAGTAAGAGTGAAGGCCCAGTGAGAACCAGCCTAGCCAGGGCCCAGGGACCTGATCCTAGGGTAGAGATGGGTGCTGACAGTACCTGCTGCTTCATGCTCTAGGAGGAACTTCCCATTCCCCAACCCCAGGGACAGATGTTGATGGACACTGTGTAGACCCTGTGTAGAAAGGGGTTGGGCTGGCATCAGGTTAGCCACCAGGAGCTGAAGGAGAGGGAGAGAATGACTTCTAATGGAAGTCTGGGACTTTCCTAACCCTTGGGGCTCAGGATTGAAGGAGGCACACAGCTCTCGCTGCAGGCCCCACTTAAGGACTTGGGGAGGCAGGGCATAAGGCCAAGGCATATGCCCTGTGGTTACTACCATGGGGGCCAAGAGTGCACATAGTGAGACAGGAATAGACAGGCTGGGCCACACATGACCACCACCATATCTTCATGGTCACAGAGTACGGATTTCTTGAAGACCTGGACTGATCTATAGCTCCTCCTCCCTCCCTTATGTCCACTCCTCAGTGACACCTCCTCCAAGTGACGCCTCTTCCTTACTGACTCTGTCCCCCAGCTCTATTGTCTGTGACTCCTCCGCCTCCACAGCTCTGCCCATCTAGCCTCCAGCATTCTGTCCTCCGAGGCTCCCCCTTCTGGACGCTGTTTGAAAGAGAAACTGCTCTTTCCCTTTTCATATCTGAGAGTTGGCAACTGTGGTGTCTTGTACTCCTCATATCGCCTCAGAATGTGAGTCACATCTCTTTCTGAGTAGACTTGTGCTTCTGTCCGTGTGCTCAGGAGCCTGGCTCAGAAGAGGATATCAGTGGGGAAAGGTTTAAAATCTAAATATAGGGGCTGGAGAGATGGCTCAACGGTTAAGAGCACTAACTGCTCTTGCAGAGGACGTGGGTTCGATTCCCAATACCAACGTGGTGGCTACGAACCGTCCTTAACTCCAGTTCCAGGGGAATCCAAAGCCCTCTTCTGGCCTCCGCGGCTTTGCACGACACGGGTGCACTCACATACATGCAGGCAATACACTCATACACATAAAATAAAAATAAATAAAATATTTAAAATCTAAATATAGCCTAGAGATTTTAAAAATGAGAGGAAATTAAATTGTCTTTGGGACAAAAACAGTAAAAAATAAAATAAAATAAATGTAAAAAGGGGGTCAGGTGTGGTGGCCCACACCTTTAATCCCAATACTCAGGAGACAGAGAAGCAGGCAGATCTCTGTGAGATGGAGGCCAGCCTGGTCTACATAGTGAATTCTAATCCAGATGGGGCTACAGGGAGACCCTATCTCAAAA